GGTTTCCAGCTGATCGCGATGATGGGAGCAGAGGCTGTTGGGGTGCCACCTTTGCGCAGAAAGAGGGTGCTGCCTTATTCGAGTCCCCACCTTGAGCAAGCTGTGGGGGCTGATGCTTTGCCTCTGCTCCAAGTCAGGCTCACAGACTCAAGTTCAAGTTTTCTTAGCTAGACAAGTGCCCTCGAGGCCCAATCTGCCATCCTTGCTGCTTTCTTCCTGAGTCCCTGCCCTGGAAGGCTGCTGTCACCTGGCTTTGGCCTCTAAAGACCCCTCGTTAACTTGCCAGCTCCCTGGCAGGGACAGTTTTAAGGTTTTAGCCATGCTTAGATGTTTGCCATGGAAGAGTGTGCCAGCATGTGCAGTCACCACATTGTTGGAAGCACGAGTCCCTGATAACTTTTTGTCTGTTAAAAAACATTAAGAGTTGTTGAATCTCAAATTGTTCCAACTGCCACTTTTTCATAACCTGCTAGGCACCTGGATCTTTCCAATCTCTCTGCAGAGAGCTTACTTAATATGATCACAGGAGAGCTTTCTCCTTGTGTTGCTCCTATGGGGCTTGTGAACCACGCAAACCCGGGTGTCTTAGCGGCTCTTGAGGCTGTTTCTATGGCAGTGGGAAAGCAGGGAGACCTGGGTAGAAAACAAGGCCCCTAATGTGCCCTCTTTCTGCCTGTAAAACCTTCCCTTTTGGAGGAAACCGGGAAGTCAGATGGACCATGGCAGCTACTCTGCAGGTGGCCCGGGACGTCCTTCTCATTCCCTGTCCGTATTTATAAATTTCCACTATTTTCTCTCCCTGTTCCTCAGAAATCTCTGCCTCTGCTAGAAAATCAAATTAAGGAGAGTCACCAGAAAATAACAGAGGAGTTGCAAAAGTATGGCGTGGACATACCCGAAGACGAGAATGAGAAAATGTTCTTCTTGATAGACGTGAGTGTCGCCCCGTGCGTCCATGGGGAGACGCGTGTGCCGGGAGCACTTCTTTCTTACTCCCGAAAGCGGGTCCAAATACGGGGTCCACAGCACCGGGCGGGGGCAGGGCAGGGTGCGGAGGTCTCAGGGAGGGCGGAGTCAGCAGTGAGAGACGTCACATCTCGTCTCCTTGCCGCTTTGCCCTTGATTCTGTCCTGAGCACTCACCCAGATCCCCAAGGCAATAATAAGGGCAGGGGCGTAGGGTCGGGACACCTCGCGCCGTGTTGTGTGCGTTGACATGAGGAAAACTCCCCACCCTCATACATAGCACACGAGCCTCAAAATTCCACCTCAGCACTTGCATCTGATTTAGTGTCTTCTTTGCTTATTCTGATGTTTTTCTTCCTGGCAGATTTATTAATGTCATTGTAACCAGGGACATTTCTTTGTCCATAGTACCATGGGGATGATATTGTCGGGGGAGGAGAGTTTTTTGTTCTGTGTTACCAAACTACGAAGGAGGTTTCTGGCAAATGTGTTTAGTGGGTGTAATTGTAGACGAATTTTCTCAGAATAGGAGTTTTTATCTTAGTCCTTTTTGGTCCTGCTATATTAAAAAACGCTTTAGACCTGGGTAATTTTTTACAATAGAAATTTATTGGGCTCGTAGTTCTTTTGAGGTGTATGTTGTTAATTTCTATCGATGTCACGGCAGACTCAGTGTGTTTTATGTGTTAGGGTAGTCTCTGTCTTCATTAAAGTCGGCACGCTGCTGTGTCTGTTATTATGGCACACGGGACATATACGAGTTTTTTTTCTATGAGGGTGCAGCAGCTGAGGATATGTGTGGGTTCACTTCCAGTCCTAAATATCATATGTTGTTGTGTGTGTGTGTGGTCATATTTAAGTAAATGTCATA